ACTTTCTTCCCCTATGTGCCAATGCCTGGCACTATATTTGTGCCCATTGTCTACAACTGGTGTCCTAGTCCTGGAAACTTTCCAGGGAGAAGTAGTTGATGGCGTGTAGACCAGCACTGTTGAAAATGCACTCCTAGTAAACCACTTCCATGTGTTGTGCAAGTACCAAGTGAGTATAAAATGCAAGTGAACTGCAGCACAGATTATGCCCCTCCAATTTTTTTTTCTTGAGACTGCTCAATATTGGTAATGAATTGGTAATATTGGACTTGTAATATTCCTATTGAGAGCCAGCATGGCACAGTGGTTTGAACTAGGGCTCTGGTAATCGATTCCCCACTTGGCCATGGAAACCTGTTGGGTGACGCCAGGCAAGTCACACACTCTCAGCCTTAGAAAAACCCATGATAGGTCCACTTTAGGATCCCCATAAGTTGGAAATGACTTGAAGGCACACAACAATATCCACAACAATATTAATATTAAAATTACTGTGGTATATTATCAACTTTTACTGCTACCTGCTGAGCCTAGCAACAAACTAATGTCCCTGTGCAGGCACAGGAGAGTTTTGAAGGTTGTTACATTCAAAAATTTTAATGCAATAGAGCGCTGTCACTGTGCCACTTGTTGCCACTTCCTTTTTATGAACACCTTTTGCCCACAAGCATTTAAGTGGCATGCTCTTCCCATGCACTCCTCACCCACTAAGATCCTATATGTGCCACCATGTCTCCCCCATCCCTCACTGTAGGTGTAGCTATGGGAGAGGAGGGAAAATGAAGGCATTGGCCCCAAAATAAGAATCCTCCCACCCCAAATGAAATGTTCCTTCAATCCTCAAATCTGTAGCACTGCAGCAACTTAAAACTTCAGTTGAGCCTCTAGAAATACCATTCAGGCACCCAGAGAAAAGGGACAGGCAAAGATGCTAAGGAGGACACCGCATATAGAAGCATTTTATTGTGAACATTTTGACTGTCTCACTCTGCAATGTTACAAATTTGTAGAATAATAAGAATTCTGTACCCTCGTGAAATTTTCCTTCACTGTGCTACAAATTTGTAGAAGAATTTGTAGCAAAGTGAAGGAAAATGTCATGAGGGTGCAAAATTCTTATTTGGGGAGCAATGATCTCATTTTTCTTCCTGTCAATAGCTGTCTCATAGCACAGGAGCAGTTTCCCCACTGCTGCTGTGCGTTTTCCCACAGCAACAGTTTCCCGACAAAGTAGGGCACCCAGGCATATAGGCTGGGAACGACTGGATTCATATGAACAGGACACACATGTTTCATGCTGTCGTGCCTAGACCGACTCCGCAAGGCTTGTTTATTGCCTCTGTAGTCACCCTGTCACTAAGGGCAAGAGTTGACATTTCCTTACCTTAATGCAAGTGAATGCGAACACAACAAGTGTAACACTTCGAGGTGAAAACAATTTTCTGTGTCTCGCTTTCTGCAATGCTAGAAAATTGGGGACAGAAGGAAAATTTCATTGGATGGCAGAATTCTTATTTTTGCTATACCTCTGTTCCCTCCTTGATTTTATTATCTAATATTATATTTGTTATTACTTTTCTGGAAGTTGTCTGACTGAAGCCAAATGACTTTGCGGCTGGCAAAGTGCCTCCCCTT